ACTCGGAAGTTGATTTTATCATGACCCTTTTAGATGTTTGGCGCCGAAATTTAGTGGCAACAATGACCTATCTAAGTTAAGGAAAAATATATCAAAAGATCTTTCTCGAACCGAACAAGAAACATACCTACCTGGACAAGTCAGCACATGTCTGCTGAAGCATGACCAACAACGCCAGAAGAAAACAACAATTGTTGGCCATCATTGATGAGAGAATCGAGCTGAATACAATTAAAAAAAAGAAGAAAATTCACTTGTTGTTAAGAAATATTTAAAAGAAATATTTAGCTCTATAAGCGTCAGCACGGTCTATTTTTTTTAGATCGAATTCGTGAGCACGCGTACGAATCTATGAAGTTTTGTTGAATGAGTGTCCGCTCGTACGCATGCGCCAGCGAGGTATGATTTTTAAKGTCCATTTTCAGCGTAGCCTTATATCTAGAAGGGCATCTACTTGTAAATGGTTTTGTACTGGTTCATATTCAAGTACAAAGATCAGGAGCTACAAGCAAGGACAAGAAGATCATATCAATCAAGAATGCAAGGCTATATGTGCCAATAAAGTTCTCAAGGGGGAAAAGTAGCTTTTTATTTTCTATTTTGATCAGTATACTCAGTATGTACTTTGCATACCTTTTTTATATGTGGATATTTTGACGCTCAAATGAAGCTAAAACTGAGTAATTAAACAAGATAATTTAAAAACGTTGATACTTTACAAATTCAAAAAACGTTATGATTAAAAAAGAACGTTGTTAGCCTTTTTTTCAACAACGTAGTATGTTAAGTGGCTCTTTGAAAGGGATCCTCGGATTCGTCACTCAAATATTTATCTCAGTCTTAACTTGTTTAAAGAATACATATTTATCTCAGTCTTAAAACTTGTTTAAAGAATACATATTTATAATATGAAATATAATGATTAGACGGCACTGAATACATTCTTCTGACTTTTCAACTGATGGCACACTCATGCAATGATGTTTGCAATGGCATGAACACAGTCGATGCAGCATAGTCGGACAATTATAATGAAAAAGTAGTGAACGTTGAAGAGGAAAAAAAATCTAGTGACAAATTAAAATCCATGCAAAGCAAATTGTGGGGAGAGTCAACAAGATGCCATATATGATAGCGGGTGTAAGTCTTCCCAGGACTGCACCAGAGAGAGACAGCGTACACCACCCGTGATCTTCGTCTAAATGAGAAGTTTCGCCCCGAATGGATGGGTTGCAAGCATTCACAAGAGTTAAAAGACAAAATCATGGCGGCCATTTTGGTGCTGTTAAAAAGATTTGTTAAATGGCACCAACAATCCCTGGAGATGTCTCGATGACGTAACGTGCAACATAAGAATGGATAGAAGCAAGCTGTAAATGTTTAAAGTGCAGCAAGCGCTATACGTTGTCATATGAYCAATGAATCCGCCATCATTCTTACCTTGATTTGAAATTTTTGAAATTGAAGAAACTGTCGCTTTTTTGTGGACTACCCTTCCAACAATAAAGGGCCGCAAGCAGCTCCTCATATTTATAGACTGGATATTTGATAGTACTTGACGGCTGCCAAAATAGGCATGGCTATGCTTACCGCATTCTTCGTAAAAGAGTCTAAAAATAGGTAGATAGCCCAGGATGTGTTTAGCCTGATAACGAGGCTGTTAGTGACATGCATGCGGTGCCTTACTGGCATACATTTCTCTGAAAAATATTTAGTTTCAAAGCTTAATATCTTCGTCAGTTTTAGGGCAATCTTAACGAAACATCAATTGCAGTTGTTATATTATCAATGTGAAAAATTTGATAGTTACCTCCTTTTCCTATAAATTAGATATCTTAAAAAATGAAAAGGGTCAACCCAGAAAACCACATGCCATTTGCTTCCTTCCTTTACAAATGATCTTCCGCCACGCGAAATCCAATCAAAAGGAATGCTTACTTGTTGACCTTCAATACGAATGTTTTTGGAAATAATAAGGCGTTTTTTAGCATGTTTTTCTAAGTCAGGGACTAGGGGTGTTCGGTGGAACCTCTCTTTGTGAGATCTGGTGAAGGTCATCATGCTCAGTAGAATGAAATTGGAACCCCTTTTGCGAAGCCGATTGCGCTACTGTGTTTGTTTGCTCTGCTTTATCCAAATGGTAGAGAGGAAATTTGACATTCTATCTAGGAATTGTCGGCTTGATCCGATAGAGCTTTCCTTGTTGTTTCTGTCTTTGGTTTCTGCGCAACTAAATCGTCAACGAGTACTTCATTACTTCATTACTTCATTCCATCACCTCCAAACACATGCTCTCCACTAAAATCAAATATAACAGTTTTATTTTGTTTGAAAGCGAAACAGTACGCTAGGTATCGCTTTGCACTTGTCGGGATCGGGCGGATCAGGGAATCAAATAATACAGATTTTGGTTGATTTGAATCAGTCCGAGATCCTCTGGCATTAACCTACTAACCTATTATTAATCTCTGTTACAAAACCCCTCTAGTACGGACACCCAAGAGGAAGAGTATGTGTCCGTATTAGAGAGCTTCGTTTACAAGTAAATATGTTTATAGGCCGGAGTTAAAGAGGTTTGACCGGAAGAGAAAAATTACTTTTGCTTTTTTTATTTTACCTTACTTTACAATTATTTACGTTACTATATGTCGTAATTTATAGCGACATTTTAAGATTAATATTAATCGTTACACTTTATATCCTTTACTTAGTCTATTTAAGGGCCTGATTCATGTCACTTGGCTGGTCTACTGGGCCAATATGTAACCATGAGTCTTGATGCTCTTCTTTCCATTATCGGCTTTGCAATCCGCTGCGTTACCCGTGGATACCGTACCATCAGTGCCACAGTTCGTCCCAGCACCACCAAACCCGATTCGAGAATCTGGAGARCCACAATCTTTTTGTTCATTACTTATGATTCCAATACGTACGCTTTGGGTAACATAATAAGAATTGAAACCTTCTTTATTGCAGTTAAGCTGAAGAGAAGAGTCTGGGATGAGAGACTTCCATGCCATACGTCCAAGCGAGGTGCTGCGGTAACGTCCGTCTGCGATCACAGAGTACAGCGAATTTGCCCTGCAGTAACATGCGCTATATATCAGTGATAAGTTCAGACTTGGTTCTCAATGCCCGAGTTTCTTTTAGTCTTTGTCAGAAAACGAAAAATTCTTGAAAAGTGCAAGAAGGAAACTAGATTTTTTGGGTTTTGTTTTCATCGTTTGGGCATTCAGTCAATTCATGATAACAAGTTTATTCACAAAGAACACACGTTTTTTGTATCTTACCTGTATTTCAGGCGAATCCAATTTGGTTCMCTTGTGTTTCCACTGGTTTTCATTCCCAGACAGAGACTATTGAAGGGCATAGTCCAATAGGTAGGTAACTTGGTTTCTTGGTTATCCACACCTGATTGGCCTCCGGGCATGTTATATGGCTCTTTGTTCCCCCACAGTGCTGAGGTGTACTTGAAAGTTTGCTGCAATCAATGGAAGTCACGTAAAACTCTATTCCACAAATATAGATTTTCTCAATGTGTAATGTTGTACAACCTTGTGACCATCGGTCTTCATGATGGTAGTCCAGCCTCCTCCACCACATCCTTGGATGTACTTCATGTAACAGTAGACCTTGGTGACGTATGGCTTGGTAATGATGTAGTAAACACCACTCTCGGCAAATCTAATAATACAAGATTGATATTGAAAAAAACACGAAAGATTTGCAATATTTAATCTGAATTAAAACACTTGGAAAAGGAACGCTGAAAAAATTCTGCCATGCAAAAGGTAAGGACAGACAAACGTGATGAGTAAAAAAATGGTGGTGGCTGATTGAACAATGCGCTTCCAGTAACCATCTACTTAGACAAATACAAGATTTAAATTCACTATCGGAAACTTGAACAATTTAGCTGAGGAACATTCCTAACGANTTAACCTATTAATCAAACTACTCTAGTACGGACACCCAAGAGAAGAGTGTGTGCCCTGATTAGAGAGGTTCGTTTATACTTAAATATGTTCCGAACAAAAAAAAAAAAAAAAAAAAAAAAAAAAAAAGAGAGAAAATTTTTACTTTTGGAATTTTTGTACACGTAAATGCATTATTCTTATCACTTTACCATACTATATTTGTTTGTTTTATTTATTATATGTCGTAATTTATAGCGACATCTTTTTTATATTAATTATTACACGTTACACGGACCTGATTTAGGTCACTTGACAGATCTACTGAGCCAAGATGTAACCATGAGTCTTGATGCTCTTCTTTCCATTATCGGCGTCGCAATCCGCTGTGTTACCCGTGGATACCGTACCATCAGTTCTACAGCTTGTCCCAGCACCACCGAACCCGATACGGGAATCTGGAGTATCACAATCGTTTTCTTGGTTGCTGATTATACCGATGCGTACGCTATGGCGGTCGACACGGACAGCATTGAAGCCTTCTTTATTGCAGTTAAGCTGAAGAGAAGAGTCTGGGATGAGAGACTTCCACGCCATACGACCAAGCGAGGTGCTGCGGTAACGTCCGTCTGCGATCACAGAGTACAGCGACCTTGCCCTGCAGTAACATGCGCTATATATCAGTGATAAGTTCAGACTTGGTTTTCAATGCCTGAATTTCTTTTAGTCTTTGTCAGAAAACGAAAAATTCTTGAAAAGTACAAGAAGGGAACTAGATTTTTTGGGTTTCGTTTTCATCGTTTGGGCATTCCGTCAATTCATGATAACAGGTTTATTCACAAAGAACACACGTTTTTGTATCTAACCTGTATTTCAGACGAATCCAGTTTGGTTCACTTGTGTTCCCACTGGTTTTCATTCCTAGACAGAGACTATTGAAGGGCATCGTCCAATAGGTAGGTAACTTGGTTTCTTTATGATCCACACCTGATTGGCCTCCGGGCATGTTATATGGCTCTTTGTTCCCCCACAGGGCTGAGGTGTACTTGAATGTGGACTAAATAAAGACAAATAGGTCACAAATAAAACATTAGTCATAAGTTGACCAGTCTTATTATCAGTAGTCGTATACTTAGTTGTTTTTACATTGTGACCATCAGTCTTCATGAGGGTAGTCCAGCCTCCTCCACCACATCCGGGGATGTAATCCATGTAACAGTACACCTTGGTGACGTATGGCTTGGTAATGATGTAGTAAACACCACTCTCGGCAAATCTATTGGCACAAGTAATTACAACGTTTTCAGGGATGTGTTTARCATGAAACACTATCTGATCGTTTTTGCGAGCGCTTTTTCAATGGATCTAAAACATATAAATATTCTTTGCTTTACTCACGGGTCATCCTCGAGGATTGCCTTGCATGACCGCGCGGGATTCTTACGACTGCCCAGTTTAGCTCTGCAGTCATTAGTCTCACAGACCTGCAGATGTCCATTGATGATCACTCGTCCTCCGTATCCTGGTTGAATAACAATGTCTCTACCCACACCAGATTTGATGTACACTGTGCCATCTTCATCCTCTCTAAAATCCACTGCATTGCTGTGCATAACAATTGAAAATATAACTTGATTATTCTTTTTGTTCGATTCTTGTCAATATATAACAGAGGTTTAGTTCCCTCCCTTTCCTCGCCCCCTCCCCCAAACCCCAAAAGCGCCGCTACGCAGGTTAGGAGCCACCCAAAAAGTAATGTAAGGTGTGGTTCCATGGATTAAAACTGGTTTTGTTTTAAAGAATGCAAGAGAAAAAATATCTAGAAACCCTACTCCCTTTAGTTAAACATCCTGGATCTGCCACTAACCGGTAACACCCACCTGTCTTCAGCAGCAGTGGTATCACTCCACTCAAGGAGGATCAGCAGCACCAGAAGAATACAACTCTTGGTCAACTGCATCTTTGACAACGCTGCCAAGAAAACAAGCCTTTCATTCGGCACGCGTAAAATAAGTAACTAAGCAGTTGACTCAGTCACTGCGACTACGAGATAACTGCCGCTGTATCGTGTTCGATGCATGATAACATGAAATCAATCCGATCACAAGGAGTCGCATAACAAGTTCTAGTTAACAAAACGGAGTTTTTAATTAAAATTATTATCGAAATACCTCCTGAAGGACCTAAGGTAATATTTGGTGCAGATGATGGAGAAGTATTGAGCTGATTACAGTTAATGTGGGTGGAGTCATCATGACAAACTGCGAAGCTTTATGATAAACAACATAACAATGTATTGCGTTGGGTTTTTTCCCCTTCCACCACAGTTTCTGCAAAAGGAATTCTTATTTGTTGACTTTAAGGCGAATGTTTTGAAATAATTACGAGTCATGAGCCTTTGGCTAGGGAGATTGAGCGATCACTATGCATATTTCAAGTAAACAAGTAATATAGACTAGCTAAGCCACCAACATCTTCGGCAAATTAAAGTGTTGAACAGTTGCTAACAGTGACTATAGCTTTGGCTCTCTGATGGTAGATTTTAGATTTTAGATTTTCTTAAAATGTCAATAAAAAGATCAGGAATCGCTGGTAAAGACTTGAGGAAACATTACCTTGACTCCCAGAATGTGATTCGGCTTGCTTATTCTACTTCTAGTTGAATGATGTAGCTAAAATTATGACTCGTTTTCGTCTTGACCTGGCAGAAGCTTCTAGCGATCTCCTGTTGTTCTTGGATTTGGAAGCTGATAGATACTCAGCTACACCCTCAAAAGAGCAGTGTATTATTTTACTTCACTTTAGGGACAGGGGTGAAAGGGTGGGATGCGCTTGGCAACCCCTAGCTGTTCGTTGTTCCATATTTATTGTAATAGTGCTCTGTAGTCGTACTGTCTCCGATTTTGACTCGAAACCATTCGACACCCCTCTCTTAAGCACGTTTTTTAAATGACTTCCCACCCCCGGCTTAAAATAAACGGTCCCTTATCGCCTCCAAAAACATGCTCTCCACAACGATAATAGTATTTTTTTTGAAAGAGAAACGGTACGTTAGATATTGTTTTGCATTTGTCGGTATCGAGTGGATGAAGATCAGTGATAAATATTTTGGTTAATTTGAGCTATTCGTAGTCCTACTGGCATCTATCATGTGCCCGTATTAGAAATATCTGTCAAGGTCAAAAGTGAACCGTTGCACCAAGAACTAAGGAAAACTTGTACGTTGTCTCCAATAACGTGTCCGTACTAAAAGATAAGACCACAGAGGTGCACGTAATAGAAAAGTGTCCCATCATAAATGCGTCATTGAGAAAATTGAAGTTATAGAAGCATTTTTCACTTCCGCATATTGAATTTCTTAGTCGTCACAGATGATCATTTTATTTATGTTAATGTTACCTTACATTACATCACGCTATTATATGTCGTAACTAGTGTAACCGACATCATTTTTAAATACTTCTACAAGGTTTTAGCTGCAATTTGTCATCTCGTTTTGAAGAACACGTTTCAATTCATGTGATTGATCTATTGTGCGAGAATGTAGCCAAATGCCCTGATGTTCTTGTCTCCATTATCTGTATTGCAGCCCGCGGAGTTACCAGTGGATATAGAGCTATCGGTCTTACAACCGTTAATCGATTTTGACCCAACAGTGGCACCATACCCAATATGGGAGTCTGGACTGTTACAATCGTTTTGCTCATTGCTCATGAAACCAATGCGCACACCATGATAGCCACTGACATGGAAATTGAACCCCTCCTTGTTACAGTTCCGCTGCAGGGAAGAGCCTGGGATGAGAGACTTCCATGCCTTACGTCCAAGGGAGGTGCTACGGTACCGTCCGTCTGCTATCACAGAGTACAGCGAACTTGCCCTACAGATACATCAGCACATTTGGAATCAGACATTTGTTTTTAAAGCTCGTGCGTATGCTTATCGATGCAAAACTCTCGACTGTGACGTCATAAACCGTTATAAATACCTGTAGTTAAGTCGAATCTATCTCGGCTTGCTATGAAAGCTGGTTACCATTCCCAGACAAAGACTGTTGAAGGGCATTGTCCAGTAAGTTGGTAGCTTGGTTTCTTGATGATCCGCTCCTGATTGGCCTCCTGTCACGTGATAGCTAGCTCTGTTACTCCACAATGCTGAACCATATCGGAATGTAAGCTGTTCAGTAAACAAATTAAATACGGTAATCCTTCTAAATACGATTATTAGTGTACTATAGATAATTCATGATACTATAGTATACTTTGAATCTTTGATGATGATGATGATGATGACGATGATGATGATGATGATGATGATGATGACGCTGCTGCTGCTGCTGCTGATTCATACTTTGGGAAGGAAAAAGAAATCTTACCAAGTATCCGTTGGTCTTCATGATGGTAGTCCAGCCTCCTCCACCACATCCGGGGATGTTCTCCATGTAACAGTACACTTTGGTTACTGTTGCATTAGTCTTGATGTAGTAGACACCACTTGGAGCAGACCTATAAAAAAGTTATAGAAAACGTTTACACATGGGTATCGTATCAGATAACAACACAGTGCAATCTCTTACAATGACCACCACCACCACCACCACCACATTCACCACTACCATTAGACCACTGCCACTATTAACGCCACAACCACTCACACCACAACACCACCACTTTCATCACTACCATCACCACAACCACAACCAACACACCACCACCGCTGCCATCACAACCACTACCCCTTTCGTCACTACCATTACGACCACTACCACTACCACCGCCACAACTACTTTCAACACCACCACCAAAACACCACTATCACCAACACCACCACTACAACACCACCAACACAACAACATCACCAACACTACCCCCACCACAACACAACACAACCCCACCGCCACCACTACCGGCCTTCATCACCATCACCACCACCACCACCACCACCGCCTCCACCGCCTCCACCACCGCCACCGCCTCCACCGCCTCAACCACCACCACCGCCTCAACCACCACCACCACCACCACAACCACTTTTAACACCACCATTGTGCCCATTTCCCCACCCATCACGATAATCATCAACGATAGTGGTAGCAACAATAACATAATAATAAAAAAATTGAATCGACTCACCAATCGTCCTCCAGGATCGCCTTACAAGATGGAGCTGGATTCCTAGCACTGCCAAGTTTAGCTGTCACGCTAACATAGCGAACACCATCACAGATTTCAAGGGCTCCATTTCTGTAAATAGCGGATCCTTCGTTTCCCTCGTTACATGGATTACCCGATGAACCTATCTTGAGATTGAAAAAAGCCCCGTTTATTCGTACCCGTCCACCTTGCCCAGGATGCAACACAACATCTTTTCCCTTGTCTGACGTCAACCACACTTCGCCGCCATTTTTGTACGTCACAGAAGCTCGCCTAAAGTGGAGAACGTAAACTATTCAATTTAGACTTCACGGCTACAGCTTGACGTTTCAGGCATATTGATATATAGAGAAAACAAAAAGCTTGTGAAGAAAAATTCCAATTTTTTCATTGATTGTTAATTTTTCGACTTCAGTAAGCCGCCGATACTTACTGCAATTTTTCTATCTCTGGAACCGCGTTTTCAGATTTTATTTTTGCAGAGAARTAGTTTATCGTTTTCGCTGTTTTGGGGTGTGTAATTTTCAAAATATTGCAGAGAAAAGTACAAACTTTTGAACGAACTTACTGCAACATGTTTTCGTTGCGAAACATCGCTCTCATCGCGAAACATCTCGCATTGTGCATTAAAAGGTACTTACTTTTCGAGGGCCTTGTTTGTTAGCAGCAAAGTGGAAACCAAAAACAGCACAAAAACCAGCTTCATTTTCATTTCTTCTCGCTTCACTTCGTCTTCTTTTGATTTGTCTTGGAATGTTAAGAAAAAAACAGCTTGGTTATCTTATAAAATTGTGAGCCAAAATTTAATCGTTTTAAAACAAAAAAACACTAGTTGCTTTACCTACCTCCTAAAGTGATGAACGCTGATGAAGTTTAGAGAAAACTAACGTGAAGAAGTCCGTTTTAGCCTCTTTATCAATCAAAGAAAGTCCCCAAAAGTAAATAGGAATTAAAGATTCAATCAGTTATGTCAACATATAAAGTTTTATAATATAATTTTCCTTTCATTATTTGATGAAAAATCAATTACGATAGACAGGGCAAGAAAAAACACGAACCCTAGAAGATGGCATACTTAGGATTAATGGAAAGATGAAAAGGAGTTTGTTCAATTAGCCTGTTTTATTCCTCTTTGGGAATTTGTTGGCGGAAATTATGTGACAATTTATTTAACTCTATTTTTTAATCATTGCTTTCTCCAAGAACTAGAGAGCTCATCTAGGGAGATCAGAATGATATAATTAGTTTACAATCATTTTTGGAGTACAATAGAAGAAAGCAAAAAGGAAGATATTAATTAGGGTGGCGTTCGCGGCTAACGCGTCGTCTTTCACTGCTGTGAGTCCAACGGGTCGGGTCGCTGGTTCGAGCCCTGCGGTCGCCACATGTGAATTGAGTTTGTTTAATGTGTCGTTCTCTCCTATGCTACAAGGGTTTTCTCCGGGTTCTTCGGTTTCCTTCCTCCGTAAAAATCAACATGTCAACAAGTTAGCTGAGTGTTGTATGTTGTAAATATAGAACGTAGTGGTAGTGCGTGTGGAGGGAACCTCCCAGAAGAACCCCGTATGGTGAGTAGTGGTTGTAAAATATTATTATTATTATTATTATTATTATTATTATTATTATTATCATAGTAGTAGACACTAATCCCATTGTCTTCTTTTGCTTTAATTTGACTGTTAGTCACTACTTATACAATTTTTTGAGCAGTCAAAATAATCAATGTGTTCTCCAGATTTGAACTTGTCCTCCAACAAAAGATTGATCAATTGGGCCGACGACTGTTCCGGTTGGAGAACATTTTCCTAGAAGTTAACAGCAAACGTTACACAGTGCTAATAGAAATATTCCAAAAATGTTCTATTGTTTCTTAGCTAATCAAAATTGATTTTCTAACCGGAAAGATGACGATGACGCTTCTGATTGGTTAGGAAACATTCTTGAAATAATCATAGGTGCCCAAGGTTTTTCGATTCACTCTGTAACAATCAGCAATCAAACCTTGAAACAACCTCTACGCTGATCAAGGTCAGAGCACGACTATCACACAGATAAATAAAGGTTTTCTATTAAAACTATCCCGCCCTTACATCTGAACCTGAAACTCCAGAGTAAAGCCTCGAATCTAGGGAGGGATCCAACGAACTTTTTTGTGACGCCGAGTTCAGAGATGGAGATCAATGTAAAATTACCCCCCCCCCCCCTTTTGAAACTTGGCTCCCCGAACAATACCTTTTTAAGCAAGTTCTTGACTTCCTTATTTCTAGCAGTTGCCAATATCTTATCATTCATGTCAGTATCAAGAGGTCCTGGTGCATAACATAGTACTCTCACGTCAGGCTATCACAAAAAATACATATAAAAAAAGAAAGTTAAACAAGAAGTGATTTCAACAGATTCAGGAAGAGCGGTAGGGTTGTATTCTCTTTAAGTTCAAAGAAAGACTCGTAACAACAACATAGCGCACGGGAGCGTCGTGCTGAATTTGGGGGCACAATATAATGATGAAAGGTGGAGAAAGGTGGAAGAGCGTGGAAAAGAGGAGAAGGGTGAGAGAGAAGGGAGAAAGCAGGAAAGAAGTGAAAAAGTGGAGTAATGGAAAAGAGTGGGAAGGGGACAAGTGGAGAAGTGGAAAAGGATGAGAAGGGGACAAGTGGAGAAGGGGACAAGTGGAGAAGTGGAAAAGTGTGGGAAGGGGACAAGTGGAGAAGTGGAGTAGTGGAAAAGAGTGGAAAGGGGACAAGTGGAGAAGTGGAAAAGGGTGAGAAGGGGATAAGTGGAGAAGTGGAAAAGGGTGAGAAGTGGAGAAGTGGAGAAGTGGAGTACTGTAAAAGAGTGGGAAGGGGACAAGTGGAGAAGTGGAAAAGGGTGAGAAGGGGACAAGTGGAGAAGTGGAAAAGGGTGAGAAGGGGACAAGTGGAGAAGTGGAAAAGG